GCGACATATCTGTTGTAATTAAAGTGCTGGGACAAGTCTTGATGTTCTCTGTGCGGATCTGGGAAATCCATGCGCCGGAGGACGCCGTCCATTCGGGACATCTACCCTTGACTTTCAGTCTCTGCGACGACTCAGTATCGAGAAAGATGCTCTACATGTACTGTTGCGTGAGAATCTTGTTTCCCTACACCCACGAAGCATCTATGCACCGGACACGAGCCGAAAATCAGTCGGATCAAGCTGCAAGGCCAACCTTGTTGACGTAGCCTGACGACGACGAGTCGGTCCCGGAGGACCCAGTCGAAAGCCCCCTTAACGTCCATCGTCGCCAGCGTAGCAGTGAGCCCCTTGTCGAGGGCCGTCTCGATGTCGTGAGTGAGGAAAGTCGTCAGATCGACCGCCGATCTGCCCGGCAGAGCCCCTACTTGCTGTGGGCTGGCTACACTACCATCGGGAAGGATGGATGAGTGGGAGCTGAATAGGTAAGTTGGAGGCACGACGAAGGGAAGACAGATGGAGTTTAAAAGGATGGATGCCGAAGTGTAAGCAATCTGACAAGGGTGGATTTGGCCCATGATCCATGTGAGACCAGCCGCGGGTCAATTCCGGCAGAAGCTCTGGACCGGATTTCGTCAGCCAAATGAGGGATAATTCAATGTCACGTGCTCGTCAGTCACGTTCTGTGCTAGCCACAGCATTAAGTAGCTCAACCGTGTGGATCCCGCTCGTTCCTCGCTTCAAACACAATACACCAGCCTTTTGTGTGAGTTGGCCTAAACAACAATTGCCTAATGAGCCAACGCAACGCAGCTTGTCGACAACCGCAAGGAGGACTCTCCGGTAAGGTTGACGACGACGTCATCTACGTCAGAACCCAGCCAGGTGCGTCGCCTAGTAGCTTTGGTGAGCCCAACTAAAAGACTTCCAGCGAAGCGACTCCCGTCGAAGCAACCCCCAGCGAAGTCCACTCTGACGACACCTATCAGCCAATCAAGCGATATCCTAGCTTGCGTCTATACTGGCCGAAATATCCGCCTCCCGGTCAAAAGGAAAACCCGCCCGCCCAAACGTGGAGTCAGTCGAGGAATGTCAGCATCCAAGACGAATCTACGCGTAAAGGTCGGATCGCTTCTTGACTCACAGAAGCGAGAGACTATCGTCTATGGCTTTCTTGATCTAAAGGGCAACTTTCGATACCAGTTGGACCAGTTGGAGCCTGAATCAGACCAAGGGATAGTACGAGGCGGCGCGGGTTCAAAAAGAGTCGTCATTCAACACGAGCAGATCAAATACCTCGAGCATTTTCAAGGGCAAAGAAGAAGTGATGTAAAGCACAAGGTCCTGGAAATCCTGCAACGAGGCCGTGATCGGCGGCTTGAAAGTGGCGAAATATGACGATACCTAACCCAATGTAAATAAGACTGCGGGCATGGCCGACCACGCAGGTCGCTTTTGATCATTGGCTCGCGGCTCATTCTATCTTGGCAATAACACGATTGAAAGGCGGAGGCCCGTCGTTCCAGAGCGTTACCCGGTTAACTGCTCCAACACAAGTTTGGACATCCGTTTTCGGCGCCAGAATTCTGAGCGAGCGGCTAGATGCAGCGCAGCTCCATATTCGTGATGCTCAGGCATCCCCACCAACCGATACACTCCACGATCCTCGTGTGCCACGGCATTTGCTGGGGCACCTAACGTGCTTTTTGGAGATAAATGGAAGACACTCTCTGCAGTAACATGTATGTTACATAGTATGTTATCACCAGATTGCCATATATACTAAGTAGGATCCTGGTGCCGGCTCCGAAATCGACGTCCTTGAGGAAGCCTTACTTGGCGAGGGCGCTCACCTGCGTGTATCAAGACGAAGCTCCTCACCCTGCCGATCAACGTTAGGCGCTGACGTGAGGCCATCACGCTTTAGGTGGTGACAATCGCGCGGGCGCCCTTAATACGACTAGTCGTGAACAGCACTAATAACGCTTAGATCAATATCTCAAGTGTACTGACCTGGTGTCGGACGAAAGTGACACGCTCGAGACGTGCATCATTGAGCAGCCTGTCAAACGTGCCGTCACGGATCGAGTATACTCTGTACATGTATACACAACGTCTTATTAGCCGGTTACTCTCAGCATGTGCAACTGCGTGCTATCGGTTCGAGCTTTCAATCCGTGGCCGATTCCATTCGTGACCACTTCTTCAGGTTTACGTCGGAACCAGGCAGTACATGCTCGATACAATAGCTTACGAATCGCTATCAACTGGTAGTTGTGCCTCTGCTTCTCATTGCTTGTTTTTGCTGCGCTGTTTTACTGTATGCTTCACTGCCCCACGGCATCACTTCGGGACGAACCCGTTGTAATATTCCGCCAACTAGGTGTGGTCCGACTGCTAACGCGCCGTGTCGGGGAGAGGTTCGCCCGCTGACTATAGCATGGCAGACAGTGAGTGTACTCTGTACCTCACTACAAGCGGCTGGCCAGGCCTGTTCTTCCAAACCAACGCTGAACGAGCGGCTACAAGAACGCCAATAAGGCAGGCCTTCGACGAGTCCGCCAGGATAGAGCAGTGCACTAAGCCCTCCAGACCGAAGGGGCGCCCAGCGCGCTCATCGTCTATCGAATCCATTCGCGGGCACACTTGACTCCTTCGTCTGCCTTGTCGCCAGGTAGGCGCGCTTGGTCGTTCAGCTGGCAGGCAGTTGCAGCAGATCACCAGTTCATGTATCACTGATGCCCCTGGCGGAGCCGGAAGTGGACCTCCGCATCTTCGCTCGCATCCCGGAAGAGGGGTTGGCGGCCGCCCGAAAGATTGCGCCGTTGGCTGTACGCCGCACGGTCTGCCAGACCTTCGGCATAGAACTGGCGGATATCCCCCACATCTACCACGTCGGCACAGGATACTCCCTGAAGTCCGCGAGCAATCAGGTCCAACAGCGCCTCCTCGCAGACAAACAGGCGCTGGCGGACTGCCTGGGGGCCTACAAAGATGGAGACCCCTACAAAGTGGTTCACCTACGTTGTGCCCCGTTGTCCGACCGAACTGCGCAGCATTGGGGGAAATTCTAGACCCCGCCACGCTAATCGAAGACGAGTTCTTTGCCCAGACAAGACAGAAGCCCATCCGCGCTAGACAATCCCGGCTTGGGCCAAACCCCGTTACGAATGAAGTCTTTTGGGTCATATCGTTCGCAATGGAGGTTCCGCCCTTCATACTGTTCAACCAAAGCAGCAGGTCACAACTCATCAAGAACAGGAGGACCCTCATCCGGCACGACCCCGGATGCCAGGGCTACCACTCGAACCGGTACTGCAACCGCCGGCCACTGTGGTAATTGCGGTAGACCTTCCGACTCGCACGAGACGGAGCCCTGTACGGCCAGACCGCAGTGTGCGGACTGCTGCGGGCCCTTCCAAGCCAGCCATAAAGACTGCCCTGCAAGACCCTTGGTCATCAACGGTATCTTTTCTCTCCCTGATCGAAAGGAGCGGGCTTGCATCCGGACGGCCGGTCGGAAAGCGTCTGGTGTCCTCTATAGGGCCGCTCAGACGGGATCACAAAACGGTATCCAGCAGCCGACAGACGCCCCTGCCTCCAACCAGGGCCAGCAGGTCGGCAACAAGCGCCCGCGCACAAGAACACCTTCGGCAAACTCGATTGTATGTCTCGGTGATGGAGACACGGATAGTGGGAGCATGGAGGAAGACGGGGTGGAACAGACCGCCAGCCACCTCCAACCCATCCGTCCCGTACTACCGCTGCTGCTTCCGAGCAGGAGCCAAAGAGTAGCACAGAAGCCGAAGTATAACGTTGCAAATGCCTATACCCATCTGGAACTCGACTCGGAGACGTAGGTCGAGGGTGGCCTCCCCACGGGTGCTACGCGCAGCGCAATGTAACGTTGGGAAGCGACCTGCGGCACACACCGCTTTCCTCGAACTCTGCTGGACAGACCAGATCGACGTGGTTCTCATCCAGAAACCATGGATAGGCTACGGCGACAAAATGCAAATCAACACACACCCGGGGTTCGACTCCTTCGTACCAGTAGATTCTTGGAACAGCGAAGAAACAAGACCTAGGGTCATGACCTAATACTTACGAAAAGAGATGAGACTGAAGGCTCAACAGCAGAGACCCGTTCATACAAGGGACATCCTGTGGCTTATGGTCGACAAATCGACGGCCATCGTGAACGTGTATAGACAACCGGGCGACCCCCACAACCACACAACAACAACGCTGCTGGAGTATAAACCTCCAGAAAGAGCCCTGATCGCGGGGGACTTAATGCCCGTCACTATTCCTGGGAGCCAGGTTCGAGGAGCAGGAATAGGGGAGACGACATAGCAGACTGGGCAGACAACCGCGGCCTATCTCTTGTCGGTGAGATAGGGGTTGAAACTGAGGTTTATGGGCACGTCCTTGACCTTACATTCTCCAACATCCCTGCTGCGCGCGCGCATGTCAGCCAACACTTACACCCGGGGGCTGACCACGAGGTAATCACTGCCGTTATACCACTTCACAGTCGTCCGCAGCTACAAAGCGAGAACCAACCACAACCAATGTCTGTCGCTTCTGGAGGAAGGCAGTCAAGATGTGGACGGACATCCACACATTACCAGAGACGAACCCACTCCGCAGGATCACAGCCCGCATACGACGGTTTGAAAAGCACTGCTCACCATTACTCCAGATAGCAGAAGCAGCGAGGGAGGTGCCGATGGAGCAGCTCGAGACCAACAACTCGCTTACACTGTTGCCATGGGAGGAAAGAGGTCAAGGTTGTAGTTGTCGATGCGGGAACGGGAGAAGCCGATGTGGCCGACACAGTCCGTATCACAATCAGTAGTTCAGCGAGAAACGGCGTGGTGGGAGTTGGTGGTGCTATCCAGAAACCCTCTGCGGCTGGAGATGACCCAGAGCTTGTGCTGTTCTCCTTCACGCTAGGGTCGAGGTTGGAACAGAACCCATACAGCGGACAACTGGCAGCCATGGCATACGCGCTGCGGAAGCCATTTTCAGGCGTCACGGGCGAGAGGATCACGGTGATGACAAGTAACAAAGCAGCGGTGTTTATGCTTAGCCGACCGCACCAACAGTCCGGACAAGAGTTTATACGGTGCATTTACGATTCTGTGGAAGAGCTTCGAAAGGAGGACAACGCCATTACAGTACAGTGGAAGGCTGCAAGTGAGGAAGACGAACTGCTTAAGCAAGCAAAGACACAAGCGCGCGAAGCGACCAAAGAGGGGCTACTCCGCAAGTACAGTTTCCAATGATGAAGTCAACGACGCTCAACGTTGCACGGTCAAAAGTACCACCGAAAAGTGGACTACCAAAAAAGGTCGGACGATTCTCCAAGAGAGTTGACGCCGCGCTGCCAGGAAAGCATACTCGCCAGCTTTACGACACGCTTACATGGAAAGAGGCGACCACTCTTGCGCAGCTTAGAACCGGAATGGCAAGATTGAACTATTATCTACATCGAATCAACGTAGTGCCCTCACACGTATGTGTTTGCGGCCAGACGGCAGAGACATTTGAACACTTCCTCTTCCAATGCACAAAGTGGACGACATATCGAGCAGAGATGCTCCAATGCACAGAAACACAGAGAAGCAACTTATCCTTCTACCTAGGGGCAAGAGCCCATCGGATGACGACAAATGGAAGCCAAACATGCAAGCGGTCGGAACGACGATACGCTTCGCGCTGGCAACAGGCCGGCTGGACGCAAGATGAGAGACGGAAGAGGAGAGCCACATAACAAATCAAAACGGACGTAATCCTAACCAACCATCGACCCGCGACAGATAGCAGGCACTGCTTCAGCCGCCGTAGATAGGACGTTGAACACTTGGAGAATAGCCTTCAAGATGGCATGCTAATAAAATACTAAACCGCGGGAACCCGTAGCGAGAAGGCAGAAAGTGGAGGAGCAAGCAGCAAGTGATGACAGTATGGGCTACAAGGACACTAGGTCACAAAATCAGACACATATATGTAATCAGCTTCAGTTGCCCTTTCGGCTCTGCCGCCGGGCGTGATAAATTGTGCATGTGTGTGTGTGTGTGTGTGTGTGTATCTGTGTGTGTGTGTGTGTGTGTGTGTGTGTGTGTGTGTGTGTGTGTATCTACGAGGACGACTGCGTAGGGTAGGAATTGAAAAGGACGGCCTCCGAAATGACAAAAAGAAGCTTATCTGCGCAGGGTGTACTGGGGTAAGCAGGATTTGTACAGCTTGTCGAGAAGTGCACTGTGCCATGCCCTCCATAAAGTAATTATGAGTTGGTGTAGATCTGGCTACTTTATGCTACCCCTTGAGAAACTGGCCTCATCCGCTATTTTCGGTGCGATCTGTAAGCCGATTTCTGCTTTGTACGGTATTTCAAAGTCACTCCTGTGTTACGGCCCAACCAGTTGGGGTGCTGGCCGGCGTAACTGTATAGTGCAGAACAGGGGATAATGATGCAGGCGCATCATTACCGAAGCTTTTGCTTTGTGGTGCAGTTGGTTGCCCTGACCTGCTCGTAACATCCTGGTACTGCTAGCTCGTGCACTAAGATCACAAGAGTACGAAGAGGACACTAAATTCTCACATAACTGTAGCAGGCCAACTATCATCGTATAATAGCAAAAACGCCTTGCGGCATGCCAAACAACAACAAGGCCAATCACTCACTCTGTCGTGGCATGACCCACACAACAATGACTGAAACGCAAGAGAGTGCCAAATCCAGTGCGACGCAGGGATGGCATGACATGACAGTGCATTGTATCCACACATAATTGACAGGATCCACACCAACGAGGATGGTAGGACGAAGATTACCAACACTAAACCGACATCACCAATGCCGTCAGGAATGGCAGAACACGGATAACCAAAACAAAATTTTGAGGGCCAACACCACCAGGGATGGCATGACAGTGCATAGTGTCTAGACATAATCACTATGAACAGCGCTGCCAGAGAAGGCATCACAGTGAATGGTACCCACTCATAATCGAGAGGGCCGACGTCGTGAAGGATGGCATGACAAAAATAATCAACAGTAAGCTAAGACGACAAAAACCTTCAGGGATGGCATGACAGCGGCATCCACACAGAGTCCACATATAATGAATGGGACCAACACCATCAAGGATGGCATGACAGTAAATGGTATCCACCCGTAATCGAGAGGACCGACACCTCGAAGGATGGCATGACACGAATAATCAACATCAAGGTAAGAGGAGGAAGACCTTCAGGGATGAAATGACACTAATAATAAGCCTCTACGGGTATCGATATCGGTGACAACCCCATTTCAGTTAATTTAGACGAACAACTAGATGCGGATTGCTCATGGCTGACGGCCATACTTTTGACAAAGGCGTAACTGAAAAGTCGTCTGACAGGTTGCGAGTGGCACCGTTGTCAGCAAAGTTCTCGGTCCACATTTGCAAACAGCAGGGTAACCTCAGTCAACGGAGCGTCGTCAGCAAGGCCATATGGGAATGGCTGCTACTGTAGTAGGGTTGCAAGTGACAGGCTGTCAGCAAAACGTTGATTACAGAATTGCGAGACTTGCAAATGTGTTGAAAACCCTGCTTCTGACCGCCCAGTCGCTGGCACTGATATCAACTCGTAGGCGATGGGTTGTGGCATGGAGAGCCGTAAGCGTCGGATTCTTTAGTTGTGAATACGAATAATCCACTCCGATATCCGCCAAACTATGCTTTATGCCAGTCATAAACGTTCAAGCTGTTCCTAGACTCCTCAATTCAGGCCGGCATCCAGTGGCCTACGGCGAATGGATGTAGATAATAGGCACAGGCGCCCTGCTTAGCCCTTATCATTGCATAAGAAGCATGTCTAAGACGTAAATCCTGCACTGAACAGGAAGGCGTCAAAGCCTCTGTGTTCTAACTTGAGCCCTTCAAAATATGTATCGCCCGTGAGATATTATAGGTCCCATGGACTCTGAGAACCCAATGAACTAGAGGGCACGCCAGTGCTCATCGACAGAGTAATCCACAGAATATTATTCACCTATGTTATCCAACCGTTAGGAAATCTTCATGGGCATGAAGCCGACATCAGCAATTGAGACCAAGAGTTGTAAGCTGTGAAAATGAACATGAATCTCCGCCCTCAGAGGACCATTCAGTCTACCGACATTTTCAAAATTGCATATGCATAATCACAAGGTTCACGATACCTGAAATAGCCAAGACAGCATGGTGTTGAGGGATTTTTGGGGTGCCCACATGGGTGGGGTGCCCAGAAGTGGGTGACTTGACTTAGTGTCGGTAACAATTATAGTTCCAGAATGCATCTCGATGTAGTCGCCTTTCTTTGCCGAACTCTCTCTCTGATCAGTAGAATGTGGCGGCCAGTATGTCTATCTATTTTTGCCAGTATTATCTTTTACTAGTTAGTCTAGCAACTTATCTTGATATCAGTCAGCCGTGGTCACTGAAGACCGCTCTCCACTGCAGGCCCGAAGCATGGGAGAGAGGGAAAAATAGGTTCTATTATATGCAAATGATATTGGAGTCACTTCTTACTACTGAGGGTGTCTGATAGGCCTGTCCAACGTATTGATACCTGTACGTATGTAGGCTTAAGTCGTCGCCGTCTGGATCACTGATGTTAGTAGGGCCTTGGCAGCCCACTTCACGATCGAGGAACTTGCTGACGAGACCTCTATTGCAACACAGTCAACTAAAAGCTAGATTGCTGTTGAAGGACTAGTAAGACATGGTGCATTGTAGGTGTTAGTTCTTCCTTATATCCTAACGTGACCTTCCCTAGTAATTCCTGTCCGAGAGGGGTCTGACGTGATCTAGCTCTATAAAAGTCGCACTGCGGACGGAGACGGGCATGACCGGGAACTAATCAGGTGAATCCGAATGGTGATTGAAGGTTCTAGTAGAAAAGGCAGAGAATGCTAGGTACAAAAATCTGATACATCCTATATCACTATTACGAGCATTGGAACAACCAACTGTGCCGCAAAGCAAAAGCTTCGGAAATGAAGACCTTGTCCTGTTATCTTCTGTTCTGCATCACATAGTTACACCAGCCAGAAGCACCCTACTGGTTGGATTATAGCAATAAGGTCAAACTGGATCCCAAATAGCCTGGTGGATTGTACGAGCAGTTGGTCGGCAGCAAGGTGAAGTAGAACATGCCTTTCGTTGTCGCTGAGGGGGCAACGCTATTCCAGCATACATAATCATTAATCATTCACAGACTCTGGCTGTGTAACAAACACCAGAAATCTCCATATTACATAGAGATAGACTACGATCCAAAGAAAATATACAAGGTAGGCACATAGATATTATGGTTCATAAGAGTCCGAGGGTATATTAGTCTACCAGCTAGCATAAGTCGTGTTAACTGGCTACACGCACCACACCGATGCTTCATGAGAAACGTTGTCACAAGGGGACAATGATGGCGTTCCAAACCTATAGCTATTTTACTATGGAATCAGACTATAATGTCCTATGTTCGATATACACAGCCTACTAGATAGCAACCGTTGCTACGCCTGCTTTTGTTCCACTAACTGTTTTCTCCATTGCTTTAGAAGCTCATCTACGTTTAATGGGCCTTGTTCTAAGATAAAATTAGTTTTAAACCCTTCTGTGGATTTTGAAGACCCATTCGCTATGTCGACAAGCTTTCTGGAAATCCCCGATACGCTATTGGATGGTTCAGAACTCCCCTCCACTGTCCCATCCGCAGGTGCATGTTCTGGCCCGAGAACTCCATCTTTTTGGCCCATAAGCATATCGATTGTACAATCGCACCTCCTCCATTTTTGTCTACAAACATAACAAAATTGGTACCCACAGCGGCACGTCATGTGCTGACAGCCATCTTTATGTTCAACTAGTACGTTACATTGGGGACATTGTTTCCAGTTTTCCTGCTTTGCAAGTGATCTCAAAAGGCTAACGTTGCGGTCAGGCGGACATTTTGAAGTCTTATGTACTGGACCACTGCAGATAACACAGGTCATATGCCCACGACTGCAAATGGCTACCTGTCTGCCACAGCCGCTCAGGCCCTCGGGCTCAATACAGATACCGCATCCAGGCCAGCTACAGTATAAACGCTTGGAGCAAGGGGCATTCCAATTGAGTGAACGGTTCTGATAGGTCTCAAACAGATCTTTAGGTGTATTCCTTCGTATGGTGTTTGTGTGGATTTCTTTATCACAACACCTCGGTGGCCATCGCTCTGGGCTGTAAACGGACATTCTATCAAAAGTTTAAAA